CAAAGTAGAAAGGAACGATTGGCCATCGGTGATCGGTCCTGTGGGAACAATGCTCCGTCCTCTCGAGGACGCGTGGTCAATGGCCTAACCGCTAAGGCATGCAAAACATAAGAGTACGCCCCCCCCCTCCCCCTTCTCTCCCTTTCTCTCTATATCTCGATGGTGTCCACACCTTGAACACCTGTCTAGTGATGTTAGCAGTTGTTGAGTTCAGTGGAAGGCATCCAAAACGGAGAATTTCAAGAGTTTTTCCGGAGAAACATATCGCTGGAATTGTATTCCTCCCATCCATCGTCTTACACATGAATTGTACGCACAGGGTCCGTCCCTGCACAGTTCGTGAAGCTCTGCGGACTTGACGCCCTGCTTCTCGGCGGCAACCTGCTCAGCGGTAAGGGATTTCAACATGTTCTGGTACTTCTCATGTGGTCCCGTCTTTCTTGTTCACTTGGCTTGCTTGAAGTTGGCCGAAATCTCAAGCTATATTTTTTTTCCAAACAGTCTTCAAACTGACATGGTTCTCATGAACTGCAGGTCCGGTGCCCTCCTTGGGCGAGCTGAGGATGCTCTACGCTGCGATGGTTTACCCAGGTACGCAGTTCTCCCCTCATCCACAACGTCGTAGATATCACAGGTGCTTGTGGTTAAGTTGGGGTTTGGAGACGTTGTTGATGAGAGAGGTTGTAGCCTCAACTACCGATGCTTTGGTTGCTTTGGTTGCTTCGTTGCCGAAGATGTACGGCGGGCGCGTCAGTCCTGCAGCCGGCTATACCGTTGTTGTTTGTACCGGCTATTTCGCAACAGCGATATGCTCCGGGCATGTGTGTGGTGACCAACACAACCAAAATCACGGCCGATCACGCATTGCAGCGGGGTCGGCTCTATCCACCATGATGCAGCAACGCACACCACACGGTAAAGACGAAGCAACGACAACTGAGGACCACCTGTACGACGATCCGGACACACACATCAACGCGAGGATGGCAGCCATGTTAGGTAGGTCGTTGTGTGATTCTCCACACATGCCGTCGTCCTGTTGAAACGAGAGTTAAGGGTGTCATCAGGTTCTCGGTGGTGCTGACTTAGAGCTCGAGATGCCCTAGCTTAGAAGACCCCTCTCCATCTGTAGTAGGTACAAGGCAATGGCTGCTACGGTATGAAAGTGCGAGTGATCGCATCAATGTCATGAAGTTTTTAGTTCACTTTATCTTGACTGTGCGACAACCCCGACTCGTGTGAACGCTCCGACCCCTGTGCGGAAATCAAGAATCTTGATTCCACTCTCTTGCACACACCCTGAGCCATAAATATGTGCGTCATTAATAAATTATATCGATGACACGTGGTTACAGCACACCCCGCGATGACTCCGACATGTGCGATGCTTAACTAAGCCATAGCCTTCGTATAGTACCTTCTGTTTTGTTGAGTGGGTCGATATTTTGCCGCGGAATAATGTAGAAGAAAGCGCGGCGAGCGAGGAAGAGATGTGAGAAGGCATTGTTCCTCGAATTGATGATGGGTGGCGTAGGTAGACTGCGAGTTTCGGCTGTGGTAGTTTGCGAAGGCCGAGGGTGACGCGGTTGCTCCCTAAAACATGTCTGTCGGCCAGCTTTGGTAATCGTGTGTTCGTCGATTAGTTTGTGTGATGCCGAGTATGCGCGGGAACGATTGGTGCTTGGTTGGCTACCGATCCGAAGAAGCATTTCCCTTCTTCATTTGTGCACATGTGCACTGACTGCCAAGGTTACAATACGCACAGCCTGTGGAACCCCGATGGCGTACTGCGGTTGTACTGCCAGACAACAGACCAACTGTAGCAGCTCGGGGTGTGCCCCTGAGAACCCATTCGCAATCGCCGGAAGTTGGTTTTGTCAGAGATACCGCACAGCGGAAACCCAATAAAACTATTTCAACCTGGCTTTTGTTTCGAGCAGGGGTGCGAGAACTCCGGCCTGTGCTATCGCTCGCACTCTTGCGGTGCATCCCAAAGTCACTTGCCTCGCCCGTGCCGAATAATATTCGAACCTCATCTCCGTTTTCGGTCTCCCTTGGGAGACGTGTATCGGGTTTCGATCGTGGCATTCATGATTTGTGTGGGCGTCTCTGCTTGCCTTGATTGTAAGTTTTCAGTGGTGATGTGCGAAGACGCTAGTTCAGAGTCCCGATGGATGGTTCTATCGAGCAAGCGCGTGCGAGGTGTTTTTGATATGGAGGTGGCCGTCTCTCACGTTTGTGATTTCGCTCTCAAGCAAACTATCGACGTGGAAAACGGCTCTGGGGAACAAGCGTCACTACCCACCCTGAGACAAAGGAGTAGGCAGTACAATTTACACTTTTTGAATGTAGGCATGGAAAATCTGGTGTTTCTCACTGTTAGGGTGCTGATGTGCTGTTGGAAGGGAGCTTTTTGTTTATCTTGAAAGCTGTACGTGGTCCCACGTCCCCTCTCGCCGGGTTAGAGACACATTGACGGCCCGTGGATGTATGCAACAATGCGATTTACTCGGTCATAAAGCCTGGTGGGTCTGTTGGGAAGCCTGGGTACGTTGTCTATCGGGTTGTCCATAGGGTGGAGTCGCTGACAGTCACAGTGAGGGTTCGGCCTGACCCCCCAAAAACGTGTATGCGCGTGGAACGATTTTTCGTTCTTTGCGTGTGTTTTTTCTGAATAACGTTGATCCGCATTACCGGCTGACGACGCCAGAACGTGAATTAACTTGATATTAGAGAGTGGGCGCTTATCACGGAATACTCGCTTCCACAAAGGAATGACGTCTTCCTATTTGGTGGAGACCTGTCAACAGACCATACGAAGGTTTTGGTGGGTCAGTTTTTCGAACGGACCCTGAAAACCCATTAAACACTCTAAAAACAAGTGATTTTCGGTATAATCAACGGGCGGCCTCGTGCGTGTGTGACGATTGCCAAAATCGGCACCCGACAAAACATAGCTCTCCTCTCTGCGAAGGCCACGCAAAAAACCGCACTACAATCCACCACTCTGCCGCCGCACAACACGTGTTACAAGATCGGGTATCGGGATGGGTAAAGCACGATCAAATTACAACTGAAAAAAAATACACACACGCACCCTACCGGTTGAATTTTTTGGGGGGTGCATCGATTTTAGGTTGAGCAGCAACGCTCTTTGTGCGACGCGCACATCCCCTACCGCGGCGGCGGAAGGAGCTTTTGCAATGGCTCCAGCGCCAAAAGTAGCTGTGACAACCTCACTCGCGACGCAATGCCACTTGAACCCCATAAAAGTAGGGGAAGGGTGGGATTGCATGCAATTCCCGTTCAATGTCAAGTCGCGGTCTCGAAAAAAAAAAATTCACGACTCCGTCTCATCGGCTCAGGTGAAGCCGTGTGTTGGGCATGAGCCTCACCGGCATGAGCCTCACCGGCGTCGTCGGCCATTTTCGTGACCACGGTCCGCGGAGACGTAGTGCCCGGCTAGTTGGGCAGAGCAGCGCACCACGCACACTTTTGCGCGCTGCTGCTGCACCGAGCACACTCGCATGCCAGACACACACACAAAAAAAAACCAAGAAAAAACACACACACAAGGCAGATGTTGGCGGCCTGTTTGCCTGAAAGTTGACTCAGTTGTCATAATTGGTGGGGTTTCATTGGTTTAAAATGTTGTAGGAAGGACGGAAGGTCTGTTCAAATGTTGACCCGTGAGACAGAAAAATCGCCCAAAAAGAGGGTCAGGCCGAACCCTAATTTTTTAGTACTTGCTGCGAAATCGACTGATTTTTCGTGTTTATTCGGAGGAGCGTATTTTTGTTTATTTGACTTTTCGAGTTTCAATTGCCGGACGCACATGGCACGAAAAGCCGTCTCCTCCTAGATGCTTCAGAAGTGAATTAATTCAGAACGGCACATTTGGACGCACACGGCACGAAAAGCCTTCTCCTCCTAGATGCTTCAGAAGTGAAATAATTCAGAACGGCACATTTTCCGTCGTGATATCCAATGACATATCAAACGGCAAGAGACGTGAATTGTTTGAAGATGCCTTTTCCACAGAAACGTGTTGGACTTCGAGGACATGGTTCGAGAGTGTAGCAGTGCTTTAACCCGAAAATACACTATATCCTTTCTCCGTCGCAGCAGGACAAGACGAAACGGGAGCAGTCCAAGGAGCTCGAGATGATGAGACGATGGTGGGAGAAATGGCGGGTGCAGCATTGGCGAAGAAGGGCGGAAGGACAACCGCCACGAGCGGGGAGACTGCCACCACGGGTGGGGAGCCAAGATACAGTGAAGGTGGGGCTGAGCATGATTCCAGCAGTTGAGGTCGGCGACCAGTGCGCCAAGCCTTTCGGCTTTTCCTAAGGCCGATCCTGAAAAAACATGGCGGGAGTCTTATTGCGGCCTTTTGTTGTATTAGGCTGATGGCGACGGCGACGTGATGGCACTCATATTTTTCTTCTCGGTTGTTTACGGTAGAAATCATCAGCTTTGCGGAATGAACTCCCGGTACACCTCGAAACGTGGCCGTTTAACACCGAGATTTGCGCCATCGTGCCCCGTGGATCGAGGGTGAATCGTAGCACAGGCACAGCCGGAGTCTTCGCCGCGGACACCTTTGCGATCCTTGCGTGGGCCAATGCTCGCGTTGTGGCCCGTCTACCGTCTGGACGTGGCGTTTATGCCACTGCACAAAACCACGCATCGGTGGATAGCAAAACATCATGAAAGTGTTTTGTCTTGGCGCTGTCTAGCACACACACATTCCCCTTCGCATATCCCTAACCCGTGATGCCTCATATGCGCGTGCTGATCCTGAAGAAATACATTCACGACTCTCGACCATGGAGCTCTCCTTCTAAACCAGTTTCATCTATGTCATCGACGAATTTCCGTTTGTGGCAGACAAGCGTCTCAAGATCGGAACGACGCACACCTCGAGCCAGATGTCATCTCTTCAGGGTGAGGCTGAACACGATTACTCCCGTCTGTAGTTGCCTGGCTCCCAGTTGGCGAAATTTTCGTTGAGAACTGACCAACACAGAATAAATCGCGGAATATCTTGGTTTGAGAATGTACGATCGCTCGCAATCGCTCCACACTTGACTCATGGTGGAACGGGGCAAGTCACGGGGGCTACGTCCGGACTAGCATCGACCTTTTGCCGACGAGCAGTGAAACTCTCCCCTGGGGTAGCTATTTCCCCGGGGCTCGAGGGTGACTAGGAATGGCCCGGGCCGCTCGTGGCAACCTAATATGAGCATCATGATGCCCTCGTGGGCAATTCAAAGCTGTGCTCACACTGCCCCACACGCGTCTTTCCCGTATACTGAATCACCTTGCTAGCGCCTAAGACGATCTGCGACGCCGCGGTAAAGGTTTTCTTCGCTGAGCCGCACATTGATTTGACTGTGCAATAAAAAAATGATTATTTTGGATCGGCGCCAACCTGTCTGCACGCAGACACTCTTCCTCGTGGCAGAAACATGTGCAACTGTAGACTTTTTTTCAGAGCAGATCTTTTTGCTTTCACCCAGAAGAGCAGTTCAACAACAATTCAAGTCACTTCCGACTCGTCCTGACCACCGCAAGCAGAAAACCCGGTACGTCGTCGCGCGATACCCCAAACACGTCGTCGCCGACTTGGCTGAGATCGTATGAGGCAACGGACTCTGTGCTGGCTCCCCTTGTGTTCGTCGTACAACTCGCAGATTTCAAGGGGGATGTCGTGGCATGGTCTTTCGGCAACCGCGCTGAGGTTCTCCGTAGTCCTGACTCGGAGTTTGAGCTCGAGGTGCAGCCTGGGCTGAATAAAAACTACCCTGCCTTGGTCGGCCTCGGACTGTGCTCGGGGTCAGCAGAATACGTCAACGGGGAGCAGTATCTGCTTCATTGCGTGCTGACGTGTCTCACCCGAGCTGGAGAAAAATTCGACCCTCCGCTCCTTCTGCGGTTTCCCGTGGGAGACGAAGACTCCATGGAATCGGGTTCACTTGACGGCAGTCAAGATGACGCCGAGGAGGCGTACCGTGCCCACCTTCAGTCCACCTTTTCGGCCGTCAAGCGAGACGATGCTAGTTCAGAGTGGGTCCCGATTGGTGGGGATATCGTGCGCATGAAGGGAGGGCGTGATTTCTTTTTGGAGGTGAAGATATCGCACTTTTGCGATTTTGGTCTCTCCCAAGCGATTGACGTTGAAGTAGGTTATACTGAACTGATCGAACTGCCTAAAAAAATGTTTTCGAGCAGAAAGACGCACTACCACTTCGCGAATCTCGGCACGAAACCCCTCGTGTTTCATGTATGGGGAGCTGGTCGGAAGGAAGTTTTCGTCAACGTTGTTAGGGCGAACGCAGCGGTCGACCTAGCCGGGGGGAGCGTCGGGGCAGAGATGGAACGAACACTCGTCGACGTGCCTGGCAGCGGGCCATACGAGGTGCACGTGCCTGGTGAAGCTGGCAGTGGCAGTAAGCCCCAGGTTTGCAGGAAGTTTGTTGACCTTGAGAAGCCTACTGTAGCGTGGACAACCCAGGAACGAATTTCACCGTCATCGGGTGTTGAAGGGCACCAGCTAGTTCAGGTCTGGGGCTCGACCCCGATGCTGAGTGGGCACGTCCTCGTAGTCGGAGCTATGGCGCCCGACGCGACCCCTGCAATAGCAAACCTGAGAGTTGATGATGGTGAAGATGTGGGTAGGCTCGTTTGGTCCAAGAAGGGCAACACTTAGATGGTAGGCACGGTAGATAAGGTGAAGTCGACTGCTGAAGCGTACCTTTTTGGCCCCGATAGATGCAAGATTTACCTCACGACGGATTTGATCCATGAGTGCTCACACGGAGCACGTTTTCGCACTGTTGTGGTGGTATGTCATATAGAGTCGTTGGCGTGTTGCCAAAAGGTTTATGACAACGTATTTGACAGCAGCCTTTGTGGGACTCGTCGTTCGTTGAATCGCTTCGATAAACAACTGATGTCTTCTGTCGGGTGAAAGGTACACAGCAACTGCGCCATCCATTCGTTTTCGTTTGTTTCCTTCCCTGGCGTGTTGTCGGCGAAAGAGAGTTAATGGAAAGTGGTACGTATATCCAACCTCTTTGCGTCAAAGAAGATCCACGAGAATCCCCAAGTAGTATGCGTTCTACTCCATGCTGTTTGGGAATTGCAGCTATGGAGTTGCACGTGGCCCAATTCTCGATTGTGGGGCTTGCCTGTCTTGGTGTGGCGTGAGGAACTGAGGAACTGTGAGGTGAGTGCGGGCCTGTTTGCGACCGAATGTAGTTTGTTCCGTTTAGCCATGGGGGGTGCCCGTGTGAGTGTAGGGGTTATCCCGGGGGTGGGGGGTGGAGCGTGGAATAACTCGCCCCGTAGGGGGTACTTTGTCTCAAGCTGAGACGGTGTCGCTGCAAAACACAGCTTCACAAAGCCATGTAGTGGTGAATTTTGTATAATTTTCATCCACGAGTCACATCAGGTACGCAAGTTAAATAAAAAAATACTAGCGTTCCATCTGACAGCAAGAAGCCCTGCGCTTGGTGGAAAGGAACTGGTGAATGTCCAGCGCCTGTGGCTCCACACCCAACCTAGCTCCCGCTTGCACCATGGGCTCGGGCTGCTTCGACGGTTTAGGTATAGGTTTAGGCTTAGGGTCCCGCTTGCGTCCAAAAACGCGGTCGTATACGGTGTTCTCCACCTGCCAAAACTCTCATGTCCGGGCAGGGTTTCATTTTGTAAAAACTGCGCCTGTTGTGCCCCCTTCCATCCCGGCGTGTTTGGAGTTTCAGGCCCATGTACTTCAGCAGCTATGGCTTGAGCACGCCTGCCAGTGTGGTGTTCCTGCTATTCTTGGTAGGACCAGCAACGAGCTCTTGCACCGCGGCGATGGCGAACTTGACCTCATTAGACTCGCCTGCTTCCTCACTTCGGTGATGTGGTCCTCGAGCCCTTCGTATCCGACATCCTTGATTAGCTTCGAGAGAGCTTTCCTGACATTCATTGTAGTAGTCCTGGGAAATGATGTCCTCCATGCCGTGAACTCGAGCACGTTCCACCTCGAGCACGATCTTGTCGTAGAGCTCGCCCGGCGTCGCGTTCCGCTCTAAGATACGGTACACGATGGCCTTCTTGTTCTTCTCAAAGAACGCCACGTCTTCACCGGTCAGTGGATCGGCGAAGTATTTCTGTGCATCAGGCACCGGGGGGGTACCTTCTGTCCCTCCTGTTTTTTTTTTTTCTCTCTTTTTCCCATTGTCTGGTGACACGAGGAGTGTGTACTCTCCCCCTGGAATACCATAGGCTGTGATGTGAACCATCCCTTGCGTCGATGCCACGATCCGGGGGATGTCCTTCGCTGTAATTCTCGGCGATTCCCACCCACTGGTTCTCTTCGTGGGGGGAGACCACGCGCGAGATCGTTCACGGCCCGATTTGGCTCTGTCACAGGTGACACACAAGAGGTGGAGGTACGACATGCACGTTGTCCCTCCCACACTGATAGGGATGATGTGGTCACAGCCGAAGTTCGTGGGGTTTTTATCCTTATCTCTTCGTCACAGTAGGCGCACTTACTTGCCATGCTGTGATTCAAAAAGCAACTGCTTCGTTTCGGCAGAAGGGGGCCTCCGGTGAGCGGGCTGACCCGCGCACTCAAGGTGGAACTTTGCTCCACAGTACATAGATTTTCATACTGGAGCAGGTGGAAGTGTAGACGTGGGGTGGCTCTGTTGCCGACCGAATGTTGTCGGTTCCTTTTTGTCACTTGGGGGGGGGCGTGTATATGTGTCTGCTTGGGTGGAAAGTACATCGCTCTGTTCAGGGTACTCTGCGCGAACGACCCTGGGGGAGGAACCGCGGAGACGCCGCACGCAGGAGTGGTGTGAGACCCCAGAGACGCGAGCAGCGCTGGAGCAGGCCCTTACCAAACGTCGGGAAGCGCGCCGGGCGATGAGGGGCAACTGGAACTCAGCAACGTGAAGGGTTCTCAAAGCAGCGTGTAAGGGAGTGGCTACAGCAGCAGTCGAAACGGGCATTTATGCCCACCTGGACGGAATGTGACTGAACTCGAAGAAATCTATAAAGATCGCGACGTGCGAGGACTGCTGTACCAACACGTGAAGAGATCAGTGGGCCTCAGCGGGAGACAAGCGGGGGGACAGCAGTTCGTCGCGGATGAGAACGGCGTGTTGCTTCGGAACAGGGACGACATCCTCCAGCGGTGGGCGAGATTCTTCAGCACCCTACTCAATCAACACCAAATCCCCCACCCTGAACCCACACATAATCGAACGAGTGACGCAGCGGCCAGCGACACGTGACACTCAACGGTTGGGAGATGTGCCAGAACTCGAGGAGGTGGCACGGGCAACGAAAGGCCTGAAGAACTGGAAGGCACCCGGCCATGACTCCCTCCCTGCCGAGTTGCTCAAGATCGATGATAACGAACCCTTCATCCTGGGACACCTCCATACCATCCTCGTCAAGGTGTGGAACGGACGAGATATTCCGCGAGAGTGGAAAGATGCAACTATCAAAGTGGTTATCGGTCCAACTGTAAGGGGTATTATTATCAGGCCGAAAAAATACGTATTCGGTTACGAAACCGTACTTTCTTGAAATGTATGGAGGCGTTCCTATGTTGTTGTTGTGTTTGTCTTCACATTAAACCGTATGTCAGTTGCTAAATGCCAAAATCTAGCAAAAGACTCTCAGCCCGTGGTCACGAAAGTGCTAGAGCCATCTGAGGATCTAAAGAACACGCACACATCTGACGAGAAAAAGGTATGCAAGAGCCCGAAGAGGTACACCTAAAAATCCCTGCAGCACCGTATGCGTGCCCAAAAACTGAACTGCACGTCCGTCCCACCGTTCGACTACAGTAGCATCACCCCCTCCCTGTCCCACTCTATACCACAACGGAAGATTGCCGACTACAGCATACTGCTGCTTGAAGTGCTGTCTGTACAAAAACACCATGGTAGGCATGGAACAAGCAGCTGGCGGGGCACAAAGCTGCTGTCTGAAGTGCTGTCAGAATGTGTCTGCGGCCGTACAGTGAAAAAGAACAACCAACCAAAGCCATCATAGCAGCAATTGACAATCACCCGAATCTCTCCCGATCGTCTGTGTTGGGCACTGCAGTGAAAAATATCGACACTAGCTAAGAATCGTTCCACATTGAAGGGGTCTTCCACGATCAGGCACAAAACCAATGCACCCGGGTTAGCCACGCCATCTCTGACGGGTCTCTCTACAAAACCGGTGACGACGTCATCAAACAAAACCAAGACGGAAAGTCAGAAGAAAAACGAGAAAAATTGACAACACAGATCAGACATAAATGTTTGTCTGTGCGCCACGGGTCGATGTCGCCCGCATGCTCCGGTGCCGCTGCTCCGTCCGGCGCCGCTGTAGTCAGCCCGAGCAAAACGCCACTCGAACTGCTCCGTCCGTACACGCTCTCGTGGCTGTCCTTTCCAGTC